TGAGTTCTTGAGCCTATTTCAGCCGATCGTTGTCTCTGCTGTCATGAAGCGATGTCGTATTTTAGAGTTTAAGCCAGTGTGAAGTTGTTGTCATGATAGGATCTAAACATTCTAGTTATCAGATTTAAGTTTGTTGACGATAGCCAGTCGAACTCTAAACCAGTAGTTCGCACTAGAAAATTTTACACCCAAAAATTTGCTAAGCTAGGATTCGTTCCAGAAAGCTTGAAGCTGTGTGAAGAATATTAAAAGGTTGTATTTCGTGCTGTTTTTGCGTTGAAACTGGAAATGTGAAGCAGATTTAAGTTATCTTAATGTTATGGGATGCTTTGAGCGGGTGGGTTCTTCTAAATCTGAAACTACCTGCTTGACTGGTGAATGCTTTATCCGGAGTTGCTGAACTCTAAGCCTAAAGCCTAAACCCTTAAACCCTCAACCTTCGTCGTCTGGCCCCGACAGTGTGGACTGCCACACTCCGCGTCCACTGATCCTGGCCGCGAGTAGCGCATCACACGGAACCTCTTGTGGCGCTCTCTGTCCAGGTTTGCACTGCGCGTTGCCCATCTTAGTGAAACCCTTTATTGCTAGGACCACCGCTCTCATCTCTGATGCCCCCTGTTAAGGATTCAAAAGATTAGGGTGGCTTCGTCGGCTCAAGCGTTCTCTTGGTTGCTTCCTGGCGTCGTTTACAGGTTGTTTACACCCACATCGCAGGCGATTTCATCGAAATCAAACCGACCACATGATATCTTTGGTGGGAAATGGATCGGAATGCCGAGATATGCCGAGGCTTGGGCGAAACTACCTCCGCAGATGTTGCTGCAGCCAGGGCCCGAGAACATTTGCGAAGGGCAAAGTCGAAACGTGACCCTTAGCCTTAGCCGCCTTAGCCTTAGCCCAGGCTCATCCCAGCTGGAGAATCTTCCCTGTCCAAAGACGACTTCCTGTCGTCAATGGCAGGGGCCCTGGGGCGCTCTGCGGAGCTTGCGGAGCATTGCTGAAGGGTCTGCAGCTCTGCCCTACGAGGTAGCGCTGCCAAGCGAGGAGTGGCCTCTCGATCAGCAGACTTGGTGCTGCCATCACAGAGGCCGTTGAAAGGTAGTGACAACACGGAGCCAGAGTGGAGAGCACACTTCGAGGCATGTGCTTCTCCACGACAACAACGACTTCAGTGCCTTCTGAGATCGAAACTGAGAATGGCTCATCTTGCAGATGGCCGTGTCAGCTTTATAGCAGAGGCCATTGCGACCACAGTACGACTGCCACGTCGGTTACGACGACTGGTGGCATCGCTGGGACTATCGGAAGCAGGTTTGGATTGATCCTCAGATATCCCAGGGCCACCCAGGGCTTTCGAGTCTTGAGTGGGCGGCTAAGGTGTTGCACGCATTATGCACGTGGCTGTCCGCATGGAACGTTTCCACCAAGCCGAGAGCTCAAGTTTTGCCCCTTGCCGTCACCGAGAGTTGTTGTTTGCTTCCGAGACGAGGCCTCGCGAGCTCTGCCCCATTTGACTGCTCCGCAGGGTATGCCAACTGGAGAAGAGGATGGTAGGACGCCGCTCATGAAAGTTCCAGAGCAGTCGAGTGCCCGCCAGGTCGGCTCACAAGAAGACTTGGTGTTGCAGGTGCGCCTGAGGGGTTGGACTTGGTCCTTGCATGGGGGTAGCACCACGAGTGCTGACAGAGGCCCGAAGAATCCCATCGTTGATTTATTGCAAGGCACGCCAATCGCGCCTGCTTCATGTACAACTGCAGCCGCAGTGACGATTGGCTAACCGACTGGACCTTCGCAAAGAAGGCCTGGAATGAGACTACATTGACGGCTTGACCTGTGGAAGTTCCATGGCTTGCTTCTTGCAGGAGTGGTGCTGCAGACATGCTGGCACCGGGTGCGATATCGGTTTTAGTGCCAACACAGCTTGTTGACCTGCATGACCATGTCCGCTCATTAGTCATTAGTCACCAGTCTAGCATGCAGGTGCCTGAGCTCCACCTCTCTGGCCTTCGACTGCCATGCCGGCTTCTCCAACTGGAGAGCTGGATGGTGGGGGCCTTGCAGTTGCCGCCGGACTGGGATGTGTTGCTTTGCTTGGTTGTTTGGAGGTCTAATCCGAAGAAGGCCTTGGGCTCCGTCGCAGATGTGTCTTTCCATTCACGAACATGTGAGCTCTCGCCGATCTATACACCGCGTGTACTGGATTGATAGTTCCCTACAGGCTTGGTGCTGTAAGCACTACGATTTGGCCTGCGCGGAGGTGCCCGAGACGTAGAAGATGTTTGATGCGGGTTTGTCAGACCTTGTCAACTGTTCGCAGGAGCCCTTTGACTGCAGCCGCCGCCTCGAGAGCCATGACGCCAGCGGAATGGGCCGAACGATTCTTCGATGCAAGGTGCTGGATCTCGGAACTGGCAGAACGGATGGTCGGCAGAGAAGAAGGCGACATGTCTATTAGCTTGAATGATGGGCTGGGCTGGACGAGAAAGCCAGGATTGGTGCTGCAATCATCACCATGTCGGGTGCGATCACACCTTTAATTGCAGCGCCTCGCTCAGCTGCCTTTCTGTTGTGCGCTGGGCTATGTGCTCTCCATATATGTCGACCATCAGGTGCTACAGATGTTACCTGGAGTCCTCGCAAGCAGGTCGCAGTCAGATCAGGGGACCCTATTTTTTTTAGC